TATTCTCCATTTCCATCAGAAAAAACTACCCAATTCTTCTCCTTCCACAGCAATTGAGAGACAAAGGAAAGAAAATCAATGAGAGATTTTGAGCTGGAAAAAGTAGAGTATGTGGAAATCAAGGACACAATATACAAAAAGCTCAAGGGAGATTTTTTTTTCCATTCAGAAAAAGAGGCAAATATCTGGAAGTGAGTGGGGAGCTAAAGGTTAATTGGATGAGCACATAGGGCAGACAATAAGACAAGTGTTGCCGTGGGAGGAAGAAAAGGGCTTAAATCAAAGCACCACTAAACAAGGGATCACATATATTTTTGACCTTCTCAAGAATATCAGTGGTGGAAAAGCTCGATAGTTGTGCCTATTACGGATAAAGCAGACTTCAAATCGCAAGTGATTAAGCAGGGAAGAATCCACACTGGAGAAACCACATATAAATGATCTGAATGTGGCAAAAGCTTTTGTTAGATCCTTTCAGTTCGCAGAAGAATCCACCTGGCAGAGATGCCCTACAAGTGCTTCGAATGTAGTAAATCCTTTAAGAAAAATGGCAACTTGTTGATACATCTGAGGACTCATAGCAGCGAGAAGCCGCATGACTGTCCAGATTGTGGGAAACATTTCATTGGATATTCCCACTTCGTGAGACACCTGAGGACTCACACGGGAGAGAAACCTTTTGAATGTCATGATTGTGGGAAAAGTTTCAGTTATAATTCCGAACTGGTAAGGCATCAGAGAACTCACACAGGAGAGAAACCCTTTGAATGTTCTCTTTGTGGGAAAAGTTTCAGTCAGAATTCTGACCTCGTGAAACACCAGAGGACTCACACAGGAGAGAAACCCTTTGAATGTCGTCTTTGTGGGAAAAGTTTCAGACAAAATTCCAGCCTGGTAAGTCATCAGAGGACTCACACAGGAGAGAAACCTTTTGAATGTCCTGTTTGTGGGAAAAGTTTCAGTCGGAATTATCTCCTGGTGATCCATCAGAGTACTCACACAGGAGAAAAACCCTTTGAATGTCCCATTTGTGAGAAAAGTTTCAGACAGAATTATGACTTGGTGATACACCAGAGGACTCACACAGGAGAGAAACCGTTTGAATGTCTTGTTTGTGGGAAATGTTTCAGTCAGAATTCCAGCCTCATAAGTCATCAGAGGACTCATACAGGAGAGAAACCCTTTGAATGTTCTGTTTGTGGGAAAGGTTTCAGCAAGAATTCCAACCTGGTAACACATCAGAGGACTCACACAGGAGAAAAACCCTTTGAATGTCCTGTTTGTGGGAAAAGTTTCAGTCAGAATTCTGACCTGGCGAAACACCAGAGGACTCACACTGGACAGAAACCCTTTGACTGTCGTCTTTGTGGGAAAAGTTTCAGACAGAATTCTGACTTGGTGAAACACCAGAGGACTCACACAGGAGAGAAACCTTTTGAATGTCCTGTTTGTGGGAAAAGTTTCAGTCGGAATTATCTCCTGGTGATCCATCAGAGTACTCACACAGGAGAAAAACCCTTTGAATGTCCTGTTTGTGGGAAAAGTTTCAGACAGAATTATGAATTGGTGAAACACCAGAGGACTCACACAGGAGAGAAACCCTTTGAATGTCCAGTTTGTGGGAAAAGTTTCAGTCAGAATTCTTATCTGGCAGAACACCAGAGGACTCACACAGGAGAGAAACCCTTTGAATGTCCTCTTTGTGGGAAAGGTTTCAGCCAGAATTCCACTCTGGTAACACATCAGAGGACACACACAGGAGAAAAACCCTTTGAATGTCCTGTTTGCGGGAAATGTTTCTGTTACAATTCCAGCCTGGTGAGCCATCAGAGGACTCACACAGGAGAGAAACACTTTGAATGTTCTGATTGTGGGAAAATTTTCAGTCAGAATTCTCACCTGGTGAACCATCAGAGGACTCACTTAGGAGAGAAACCCTTTGAATATCTTGATTGTGGGAATAGTTTCATTGACAATTCTTACCTGGCAAAACACCGTAGGACTCATGCAGGAAAGAAACCCTTTGAATGTCCTCTTTGTGGGAAAAGTTTCAGGCAGAATTCTCACCTAGTGAGCCATCAGAGGACTCACACAAGAGAATAACCCTTTGAAGGTCCTCTTTGTGGGAAAAGTTTCAGGCCATATGATAAGTACCATTTTTGTCAATATTGTGCTGCCACTGCTGAAAAAAACCAATGCTTTTCCATAGTGCCAAGACAAGAAGCAGTGATAGAGTTGCTTTACACTGTGCTGGTGACAGCAGATCTAGAATAGTGTGTTCAGTTCTGGTCACCATGATACAACCAACCCCATGTGTCTATGATTCTATGAATTTAGAGGCAGTTTAGAAAATAGGCCCACAGTAGCTCCCTGAACGTGCTTGTCGTAAATGGACTTTTTTTAAAAAAAAAGGTTATTTTATTCAAAATATTAATGTACAGTACAAACTCCAAAAACAAAGAATTTTTTTCAAAAGCAAAAGAATAAAAAAAATGTATAAAAACAAAAAATTTACATTACAAAAGAGAAAAACAGATTTACTTTTATCCCCAAATAGAATATTCATAAGCATATTAGAGCAATATTAGTTTCCTCCCCTTCTGAAGCAGGCCCAAATATTTATAAATTTCTACCTCTATTTACAACCAATTTGACATTCATCTTCTATGATGTATAAAGGCATTGTAATTAACAGATGAACCAACAAAGTTAAACATCAAAGCACTTGTTTAACAATCTACTTTTCCATTTAATTTGTATAAAGTTTACAAGATTTATTTACCATAAATCGGATTATCTCGACCCCCACCAGCCAGGATTCAGGCTTGGATTTGGGATGGAAATGGCACTGGTCGCACTTTTGGATGATCTCTAGCAGGAGCAGGATGGGGGTAGTGCATCCATCCTTGTGCTACATGACCTCTCAGCAGTTTTTGATGCCATTGACCATGGGATTCTCCTGGGGCGGCTTCGAGGGATGGGAGTGGGAGCCTTGTGCTGTTTTGGTTCACTTCCTTCCTCTGAGGCCGCTCTCAGTCAGTGTTGATAGGAGGGGAGAGATCCAGCCCTCCCCCACTGCTTTACAGGATTCTGCAAGGCTCGGTACTCTCTCCATTCCAGTTCAACATTTATATGAAGCCGCTAGGTGAGATCATCCATCACTATGGACTGAGGTATCACCAATATGCTGATGATACTTAGCCGTATGTCTCGGCCCATGGTGAGTTAAGTGTTGCTGTGTCCTCCCTCTCGCAGTGCCTGGAGGCTGTTAGGGGCTGGATGGGAAGCAATGGCTTGAAACTAAACCCTTGCAAGACCGAGTGGCTCTGGGTTTGGGGTTCGTTGGCTCAGGCAGAATTGCCACCTTTGGTCTTGGATGTTGTGGCACTCCCCCAAACAGACCCTGTCCATAATCTAGGGGTTTTCCTGGATTCATGACTCCTGCCCGAAGAGCAGTGGCAGTCATGGCCAGGAGGGCCTTTGCGCAACTGCGGGTTGTGCACCAGTTACGCCCTTTCCTGGACCAACGGTCCTTACTCACAGTCACTCATGCCATGGTCACTTCCCGTCTTGATTATTGAAACATGCTCTATATGGGGCTGCCCTTGAA